TAATTCACCAAAGTCCTCCAAAACAAACCTAAGCCAGATTGCTTGAGTTGTAGCCTCTGAAGCACTAACATATTATGCTTCTGCAGTAGAGAGAGCTACACAGTTTTGCTTGATAGACGGCCATGAAAACACTCCACTTACAAATGAGAATGCATAGCCAAATGTACTTTTTCTATCTTCAATAGAGCCTCCCTAATCACTGTCACAGTATCCAACCAAAACTGCCTTATTACCTTTCTCATACATCAAACCATGATCCAATGTCCCTTTAACATACCTTAGCACACGCTTAGCTATTCCATAGTGCTTATTTAAAGGACCATGCATATATCTAGCTAATAAGCTAGCTGCATACATTATATCTGGTCTTGTAGCAGTGAGGTACAACAAGCTTCCCACAAGCTTCCTATATTTCTCTTCATCTGCAGCACCACTACCATCCTCCTTGGTTAATTTTTCAGTAGCAACAAGAGGAGTGGACACAGGTTTACACTCATTTAAGCTAAACTTATTCAACAAGGAAGAGGCATACTTCCTTTGATGAATAAAGATGCTTGAATCTGTCTGAATCACTCCCATTCCTAGGAAATGATGAAGAAGTCCCAAGTCAGTCATTTCATACTTCTCTTTCATGTCTTCCTTGAATTCATTCAACATTTTTTGATTGCTTCCTGTGTATATTATATCATCCACATAGATGGATACAATTTGTATATCGTTTGCTCCCCTTGTCTTGGTATAGAGAGTAGCTTCACTCAAGCTTTTCTTAAATCCACACTGAGCAAAATAGCTGTCAATTTCTCCATACCAGGCTCTAGGTGCCTGTTTCAAACCATAAAGGGCTTTGTGCAATTTATAAACTTTATCTTCCTTGCCTTTAAGCACAAATCCCTCATGTTGCTCCACATAAACTTCTTCTTGCAGTTTTCCATTCAAGAATGCAGACTTGACATCTAGTTGATATAGCTTCCAGCTTCTTTGTGCAGCAAGAGCAATTAAAGTCCTGATTGTGTCCAATCTAGCCACTGGAGCAAAAGTCTCATTATAGTCAATTCCTAGTTTCTGCACATATCCCTTGGCAACCAATCTTGCTTTGTTCTTTTGCACTGAACCATCTAGATTAAGTTTGGTTTTGAACACCCATTTCACTCCAATAACTTGTTTGTCACTTGGTCTGTCTACAACTTCCGAAGTCCCATTTTTCTCAATCATAGAGAGTTCATCTTCCATAGCTTTTATCCATGCCTTATCTTGTGCAACTTCCTCATACTTCTCTGGTTCGACAATGCGAAGGTTGCATTGTGCTAGGATATCACTAATGTTTCTCCATTTAATTGGTGTATGATCATATGGTCTTGTGATCGCAACAGTTTCAGGGACATCTCTTTCTTGTTCTTCCATTTGATAGTTGTCTTCTACTTCTGTCACCTCATGTAGACTGGAATCAATTACAGCTCTAGATTGATCTTGAATATTTGGCACTACGATCGACATCTCTGTCTGCTCTTTCCGGTTCCAAGCCATACCTTCATCAACAACATCCCTTGACAAGATCAACTTCTTAGTGGAAGGATCAAATACTCTGTACCCTTTCTCACAAATAGAATATCCAACAAATACACCTTTAACACTCTTAGCATCAAGCTTCTGTCTTGTTTCAGTTGGTACATGTACATAACAGAGGGATCCAAACACTTTGAGATGACCAATGCCCCGTTTTTTGCCACTATATGCTTCAAATGGGGTCATATTTTCCAATGCTTTGGTAGGTGATCAATTGAGAAGATACACTGCTGTGTGAACATCTTCTGCCCATAGAAAGTAAGGCATATTCTTCTCATGGAGCATTGCCTTGACCATTTCCACCAAAGTCCTCTTTTTCCTCTCCACCACACGATTTTGTTGTGGAGTATAGGCTGTGGTTAATTGTCTTTGAATTCCACATTCTTCACACAATTTGCTGAATTCACTAGATGTAAATTCTCCTCCTCTATCACTTCTCACACACTTCACTTTGAACCCACTTTGCAATTCTACCATCGATTTAAACTTTCTAAAGCAATTTATTGCATTTGATTTATACCTTAGAAAGTAAACCCAAGCCATCCTTGTGTAATCATCAATAAGTAGCATAAAATACCTATTTCCAGCTATGGATTCAGTCTGCAGTGGACCACACAGATCTGTGTGTATCAATTCCAATGGATTTCTTGCTCTCCAAGCCTGCTCTTTAGGAAACCAGTCTCTATGTTGTTTTCCCAATTGACATCCCTCACATACACCACTAGTTTCTTCTAGATGTGGGAGACCATGAACCATATTCTGTTCTCTCAATCGTTTGAGACTTCTGAGTTTTAAATGACCTAGTCTCTTGTGCCAAATCCATCTCAATCGTTTGAGACTTCTGAGTTTAAATGACCTAGTCTCTTGTGCCAAATCCAAGTGCATTCTGTCACACTAGCCTTCAATGCAATTTGATCATTGTGCATTAAGGATAGGGGATAACATCTGTTGCTCTTCATCTTAACCTTGATAATTAGTTTGTCAAGTGAGGGGCCATAAAAAATGCAACACATACCTCCACCAAAGAGCAAATAGTACCCATGTTCATCCATCTGACCAACACTCAACAAGTTTTCCTTCAGTCCAGGTAGAAACATGACTTCCTTGATGTATTTCTTGCCAGCACTAGTGTCAATCACTAATGAACCTATTCCTGCAACATCTACCAGATTTCTAGCAGGCATTTGCACCTTTCCATGAACATTTGTCCTTACATCAACAAGCAACTCAACATTTCCAGTCATGTGGTTGCTACAACCACTATCAATATACCAATTCCCATTCATTTTGACATCCGTAATTGCACTGTTAGCATAGAACAATTACCAGAAACCTCCACTTGATTTGCACAGTTAGCCTTTTGAGTAGTCTTCCCCACAGTACACTCTCTAGCCAAGTGACCAAATCTGTCACAATTGTAACATTTTGGCTTACCTTTATATCTGCATTCTCCAAAATGGCACTTAGAGCACACTCTGCACTGAGGCTTCACAGCTTCTTGATTTGCCGGCTGTGATGAACTGAATCTGTGATTTGGAGCAGGATTGTTCTGCTGAGACTTTCCTTTTGAGTCCCATGGTTTCCCCGTAGAATTCCAATTCTTTTGAGACTTAGGGCCACTGGACTGAGAGTTACCCCTATTTTGTTGCCCTTTTGAGCTCACAGAGAGTGAAGCAAAAGCTCTTTCAATGGTATCCACATTATACAGATCAAACCTTTGCTCTTGGCTTTTCAAAATAGCCACAACTTCCTGCAATTCCATCGTCTCCAAACTTTTGGTATTTTCAATAACCAAACATATAGGATCGTATGGTTTACTAAGACTAATCAACACTTTCTGGACAAGTCTTTCATTAGACAGAAGCTCACCAAATGTTTTCATTTGGTTTATCAAGTCATTCAGCCTTGTCAAATAACCAGATAAGGCTTCAACACCTCTCATCCTAGCATACTCAAATTCACGCCTCAGATTTTGTAGTTTTACCGACCTCACCTGATCACCACCATGATACTCTCCATACAACAAATTCCAAGCCATTTTTGTTGTTTCGGCATTAGCTATTCGTGGGAAAATCTGATATGAAACCACAGTTTGAATAATGCCCAGAGCCATAGCATCTTGCATATAGGCAGCTGCTGTTTTCTCATCAACTTCCTCTTCTGAGCTTCCTTCAGCCTTCTTCTTCTTTGGATCTGAGGTCGAAATCCCCTTTTCAACCAATTTCCATAACCCATGAGCCTTGAAGATCATCGTCATTCTGATTCTCCAAAATTCGTAATTCTCACCGGAGAAGATCGGAGTTCTCACTTCAGAACTTCCAGATCCAGCCATCTCTTAGCTTAGATGAAACGAATCACAGGTCGAAATATGATTTTATGAACTTTCTGCAACTTCGCCCGAGCTCAACCAATCTTGAGTGGAGCTCAATTTCTTACGCCCAGATCTTAATTGATCGAACTTGGCTATGAGGCCATGTTGAAGTTTTGATTGTGTGTGTGTGTTAGCTAGGAAAAGAAAGAAACAAAAATGGCACTCAGATTTGAAGAAGATTTATGTATTGCTTTATGCTCTGCAAATAGCAGAGAGAAAGTTCTCTTTCTCACACAACACACACACTGTGCATAACGATTAGTTATGCATAGTGATGCTCAGTGCTTCCAGCGTGTGAAACAATCCCAGCCACACATCTCTCTAGACTAATGGATCACTCTCCACATGTCACTTGGACAAATTACAATAAAGGCCCTACACTTGGTTTAATTACCAAAGTGGATACACACATGATTACAAGGCATTGCTTAAGCTAAGCTTTAATTAGCTCATAGCTTATACACTAACAGTGTCTTCGGCCCACCCAACAGAATCAGAGTTGCTTAAGGAAGGAAAAAAAACACTTTCAGCCTTAAATCGAATGGAAGGAATTGTGAATGCCCAAATCCTAAATCGAAATCCTATGGATTGACAAATATTACACAGAGCAATTCAAAGAATAGCCTTTGGAAACCCAATCAAAACCCTAAATCCTTCATAACAATCAAAACCAAAATTGGACCCCAAAAATAACCTAGGAAGTTGAAAATCAAAAGAGAATAGTCAAAAATTTAAAATTAAAAGTTAATTATAATTTTTGTTAGCCATAGAAAAAAGGGATGGGGCCTTACATATGCTTCCTTTGCTTGGGCTTCCTAGAACAGATGAAATAGCAATAAAATAAGGGAGAGAAAGGGGTGTTTGAGAGGGATAGGCTGAAAACCAAAGGAGTGATAGAGGGGGGAGGTGGGAGAGGGGGAGAGGGGTGGAAGAGGAGGAGAGAGTGAGAGGGCTTAAGGCTGAATAGGTTTCTCAATTTGAACTTGGTTTTCATAAAAGAAAAAAAAAATTACAAAGTTTGCTCAGTCCAAAAAAAAAGAGGGAGTTTGTGAAAAAAATTCCTGCATAAACTTTGTTGTCACTTAGTATATGTTTTCTCTTACAAAAAAAAAATAAAAAAATTTCACAACGTACTAGGCACGTTGTAGACTTTAGTGAAACTTGCAACGCACTTGTGTGTGTTGTAGAATAGCCTTTTAACAACACGCAACTCTTGCATGTTGTCAAAAAAAATTTAGGCAACACACATTCAAAAGCATGTTGTAAAAAGTATATTTTACAACACCCATTAAACGCACGTTGTTATATTCATGTTGTTATATGGTATTTTTCTGGTAGTGTGATGGCTTTGCATGAAACGAAAGTTCATGATGTTGACCTTATTGATTTCCGGTCATAAACAGCCCGGAAATGATATAGATGTCTACTTAGAGCCTTTGATTGATGATTTAAAATCTCTGTGGGATGGGATTAGAGGAGTGTATGATGCACACATAGGAGAATACTTTACACTCAGAAGTGTATTACTGTGGACAATTAATGATTTTCCTGCCTATGGGAACTTATCTAGTTGTGTCATTAAAGGATATAAAGCTTGTCCAATATTCGGCGATGATACACCTAATCAAAGGTTGAAAAATGGCCACAAAATTTGTTACATGGGGCATAGAAAATGGTTACCAATCAACCATCCATATCGGAGGCAGCAAGTAGCTTTTGATGGGAAACTTAAATATGGCACACCTCCCGAGCCATTAACAAGAGAAGAAGTGCTGCATATGGTTGAAGATATTAATTACATATGGGGCTCGAAAAATGGGGGAAGTGTTGGTGAGAATGATGGTGTGACAGAGTTTGTTGGAAGAAGAAATCAAAAATCTTTGATCTCGAGTATTGGAAATACCTTCCTGTGAGGCATGTCCTAGATGTTATGCATATTGAGAAAAATGTTTGCGATAGTATCATTGGTACATTGCTGGAGATCCCTGGAAAAAATAAAGATGGGATTGCTGCTCGGTTAGATTTATTGAACATGGGGGTCAAACTTGATTTGCAACCCGAGTATGGAGAAAGACATACTCGTTTGCCTCCAGGGCCTTGGAATTTGTCAAGAGCAGAGAAGAGAGGGTTTGCAATTCTTTCTATGGTATGAAGGTCCCTGAAGGTTATTCTTCAAATATAAAAAAATCTTGTATCATTAAAAGATTCAAGACTTCTTGGACTTAAATCTCATGATTGTCATATTTGATGCAATAATTGCTCCCTGTGGCAATTCGTTCTGTTTTGGAGAAGCCTGCAAGGTATACAATAACTGGACTATGCTTCTTCTTCAATGCTATATGTGCAAAGACGGTAGATGTTTCCAAGCTAAATAAGTTGGAAGAAGATGTAGTAGTTACTTTGTGTTTGCTTGAGAAGTGCTTTCCCCCTTCATTGTTTGATATCATGGTTCTTCTAGTAGTACATCTTGTCAGAGAAGTTCGTCTATGTGGGCCAGTATATTTTAGATGGATGTATCCATTTGAAAGATATATGAAAGTGCTAAAGGGGTATGTTCAGAACTGTACTTGTCCTAAAGGTTGCATTGCTGAGCGATATATAGCTGAAGAAGTTGTAGAGTTTCACACCGAGGATTTGTCTGATGTTAGTACAGTTGGAGTGCCTTCAAGCCAGAAGATGGGAGTTTCAAAGCTATTATCAGGTTGCACAGTAAGCTTAGTTGATCAGGACTTGTTGAACCAGGCACATCTATATGTCTTGGAGAATACGAAGGAAGTCCTACCTTATATCGACTACGTATGAATTTTATTTTTCATATGGAGCCATTTTAAATATTATTATTCCTTATGTTTATCTTATATATAAGGGACCGTAATGCTTGATTTTTTCATGTCAATGTAGGGAACATATGATCCACATCAAGACCACTTATCCAAAATTTAGAAAGAGAAAAAAATGGCTACAAGATAAGCACAATAGCACTTTCATTCAATGGCTACCACTTTAAGGTATATATGTTATTGAATGACATATTCGACTTGTAATTTTCTTTCTTTCTATATGTTAGATTGAATTAAGATAAATATGATTAATTTGCAGGTTCAAAGTGAACTTAATGGGGAAGAGAATAATGGCGTATCATAAAATTTGAGGTGGCTAGCAGCTGGTCCAAGCATGGCAGTGACATAGGAATGACCAATTTGTTATGGCTTCTCAAGTCAAACAAGTATTTTTATGTTGACGATTCAATGCATCGTGGTTGGTCGGTAGTGTTATCAATGCCTAATAGAGAATATAATGATGTTATTGGTGATGATGTGCTAGGTGATATTAGAATTGAGTGTGAGCCATTTACTAGAGGGATACCAAATGTTGACATATTTGATGACCTAGTGGGTGAGTTTGGAAGTGAAAATATTAGAGAAGGGTGTGAACATATACGAATTGATTGATTGTTGTAATGTATGACATTAATTATGCAGGCTTTGGGCGCGACAAATCAAAAATTAAAAAAACAGGATTAAAAGTGTAAAATACGACGGTCCAATAAAAAAAATTGGAAAAACAGACGTCTAAGCGTCATGGAAAGAAAACGAAAAAGACCGTAAAGAAACAAAAACCGCCATTTGAAAATGAAAACATGTCGGTTTATTAAAATTAAATAAAAATCAATGAACGGCTACAAAACAACCGTCGACGTATATTTCATAGTAACACGACGGTTTCAACCGACGATTTTGTTAAACACTACTTCCACGATTAAAAGAAACCGTCGTCTAAAGCCTGAAAAAAAGGCAGATAAGTTCCATTAACTGTTGTGACAGATATTCTGCATGCCGGTTAGTCTAAAACAGCTGACATCTCAGATTTTACACATCAAGGAGGGTTAAACAAGGGACTTTTAAAAGGACAACCACGTCATCATGTATTAGAAACCGACGCAGTAAGGAGTTACAACGTCACACAATTGGATCCTCGTGATGTAGTGAAAGAATTAACCACATCCATTATTGTACTCAAACTGACGTTGAAGATATAATCCACGTCGGTAATTTTTTTGTCCACGCCTTCAATATTATTTTTAACATTAGTCTTTAAGAAGAGCAGCCGTGGGTAATATTTGTTATGTCGCTATTAAGTAATATTGTGTCATTTTAAAATGTTTAAACGTCTGTTTTCCAGCAAGAGCGACGTCTAACTCTGTCCAAGGGGCTTCTTTGTGTAATTTAAATGACAAATCTTGCAAGAAACAGACGTATATGGTTAAAACAGCGTTATCTTCCTACAGTACGTCGTGGATAATCACATAAACGACGGTCCTGTGAGACTACTGACATGTAATACTCTTTCAACGTCTATTTTGGTGTGTATTCGTCGTCTTTGATATTTTAGACGTCAATTTCTTTATTCATTTAACGTAGTATAAGTTAACCACGACAGTTTCTAGGTTATAAAGTTTGTATTCCTTCAATTAGGGACGTGAATAATTATTTGTACGTCGATGGTTAACTTGGTCTTGAGTTCATTAAAGCTCTCCTCACACACAATCACAAAGCGATCCAAATAACTTCGGAACACACTCTGTTCACGAGATCCATAAACGCAGCTGGTCCTTTAGTTGGTCCAAATCGCATCACCAAGAATTCATAATGGCCATATCTTGTCAGGAAAGCAGTCCTAGGCACATCCTCCTCTCTGATCCGCAACTGATGATAGCCTGACCTCAAGTCAATCTTAGAAAACACCTTAGCACCCTTCAACTGATCAAACAAATCACCAATGCGAGGCAACAGATACTTATTCCGCACAGTGACCTTATTCAACTGCCTGTAATCAATGCACAACCTCATGGTGCCGTCCTTCTTCTTTACAAACAAAATTGGTGCGCCCCAAGGTGAAAAATTGGGTCAAATGAAACCCTTGCCCACCAGCTCCTGTAACTGTGTCTTCAATTCCCTCAA